GGGGGGGGGTATTTTTTGGGCAGCAACTCTCACATTTTTTTTGAGATTGGATTTTTTTTGCAAAGGATTTCCTTTGGTAAACTTTGTGGGAAAGGAGACAAGCCTTTCCATCCACCTCACAGACTGTTTTACACCCCTCTATTATACCTCCCATCTTCACTTTGCTCCCGTGGTTGTAATCCTTTACAACTGCTCCTCTTTCATGCTAATAATTTAGGGTGTTTCTTGGAGAAGCTTCTTCAGGAGCGGTAAACATTGCTGAGCACAGGACTACAGTGGGAGTCATACATTGATTTACTGAAGGCCACTGTTCATAAGCAATGCTGATTCTAACACTGAGAGTGGTTTTTACAACTCTTGAATCCTTGAAAATGATTGAGCGTTATTTGAGTTGTCCACCACAACTTACTATCCATTTTCATATTATAATTGGACTTCTTCACCAGGCCAGCAATATCTAATGTGTTGCTCCTCTCCACTTTTGTTGTTCATTATCATTTTCCTGGTGAAGAATTCTGGAAAGATTGAGAATTCCAGTCTATTTTAAGAGCTTGCTATTTTACTGAGAAAAAACAAAAGGTGAACTACACTAGGACAGTGCAAAATACTAGAAGAAGTATTTGGGGAAAGGGTCCCTGGATTTAAAGTAAACTCAGTAATTATCTGCATGTTTTCTTTCCAGGTGAAACTTACCAAACTTGTATAGGAAATTTCTGTGGTCTTCTTGAAAGTTTGGGACAGCAGACTTAATAATAGTTCCAAAGGCTAAATTCCCCCCATTAATGAGATCACCAGGCCTATAGTAGCTTTGCCTTAAGTTGATATTATCCCCAATCACACAAATGGTTTGCAACCTCTTCGGTGTAGTTAGAGCCAGGAGCCAGAAGAGCGGTAACATCAACCACAGCATGACTCCTGCCTGGTCATTCTTGTCACCTTCTCTCCTAGAACAGAAATCAAGGTTTATGCAGAAAGTGAATTGCAGGTTGCTCTTGAAATCACAGCAGGCCTTTAGCAGAGTGGACGCCACCTGGATCTCCTGGATGGCCCCAGAGTGAATTTATAACAACAATGCTTCCTCTTAGCTGTGTTTGGACTGTTACCATAGAAGAAACAAAGGCATTTTTGTGTACTTCATTAGAACAATGCAAAATACTAGAAGTATTTCTGAAAGGGATCCCAGAACTTAAAACAAAGAAAATATTTATTTGCATGTTTCTCCTCCAACTGAAACGTACATGTTTTGTACAAGAAGTTTCACTGTATTAAAGTCTGGGACAACAGGCTTAAAAATGGTTCCCAAGGACAAATTCCCACCAATAATGAGATCACCAGGCCTATAGTAGTTTTCCTCTAATCTGATATAATCCCTGAATACACACATAGTTTGCAGCCTCTTCACTGTAGCTGGAGCCAGGAGCCAGAAGAGCATCAGCATCAACAGTAGCATGACTCCTGCCTGGTCCGTCTTCTCATCTTCCTTCCTAGAACAGAAATCAAGGTTTATGTAGACATTGATTTGAAGGTTTGTCCTGAAATCTCACTGGAGCTTTAGCAGACCAGACACCACCTGTGCCACCTGGATGGCACCAGGACAAATTTATAGCAACCATACTTCCTCTTACCTGTGTTTGGGCTGTGACCATAGAGGAAACAAAGGCACATGAATCTCTTCAAACCCAGCAGTGAGCTCTTTGCAAGATCAGCTAAGGTGACTGGAGAACTCAGAGATATTTTTTAAAAGCATGTTTCACCTTGGAAGATTTTTCTGTCTAGAAATCCTTAGGGGATACATGAAGAATTACTGTTCTTCTGATAATTGCAAGGCAAAGCAATTATCCCACCCATTTAGTAACAGCTTTACTTCATGCACCAGAATGGAAAACATGTTTGTGTCTCTTCTTGTAATGCACAGAGCAGGTGGATTTGAGAATCACAGTGAAATTAACTATTTGACCTGCATCAAACTGAGCCCCTGCATACATTATGGGGGCCTGTGCCATACTTGGTCAGAACGTATGAGTGATCATGGGGCATGGTGGCACACGACAATCAGTTGTATCCTGGTAACTGTGAACACTCATACTTAGATGGAATGAGTAATTTATTATTGAAGCCAGAAAAATGTCAGCATCAACCGTAACATGACTCCTGCCTGATCATTCTTATCACCTTCCCTCCTAGGACAGAAATCAAGGTTTATGCAGAAACTGATTTGACGGTTGCTCCTGAAATCTCACTGGAACTTTAGCAGATCAGACACCATCTATGCCACCTGGCTGGCACCAGGACAAATTTATCAATTAATCAATTTAACAATTAATCCTTCCATCCACAGGTCAGGAAGAGAATCATTTTATGAATCTGAATTCTGCTTTTAAGCTATGAAGCCTCCTTAATCCCCCCCCCCCCCCCACTGATATATGATGTAAAGTCATGGATGTATGTTGCCCTTGCACAAGTGGTGGGGCCGGCATGTATATGTATAGCTCGATGTGCATGAGCAGCAGGCCAGTGTACAAGTGTGCAAGTGCCAGCTGGCTTGCCTCTTGTGCAAGTCAAGCTGATGTTTGCTCATAAATCATTCCTATACCTGTTACTGAGTTGATATTAAAAAGGGCAGGGGAAGGCCTGAGGGTGCAGTGCAGCAGATTTATGTATTTATTTCATTATTTCATTGTTTATTTATTTATTTATTTATTTGTCAAGCGATTATAAAAAACAGGTATAAGTATATACATAGATATGAATACATGAAATGGGTACATATAAGAAAAATAAAAGAAACAATAGGACAAGGATGGTAGGCACGTTGGTGTGCTTATGCAGATCCCCTACAGACCTCTTAGGAAAGGGGTGAGGTCAATAGTAGACAGTCTAAGATTAAAGTTTTTGGGGTTTGGGGAAGAAACCACAGAGTCAGGTAGAATATTCCAGACATTGACCACTCTGTTGCTGAAGTGGTGTTTCCCACAATCAAGTTTGGTGCGGTTTACCTTGAGTTTGTATCTATTGTGTGCTCTTGTATTGTTATGGTTGAAGCTGAAATATTCATTGACAGGTAGGACAATGCAACATATAATTTTATGTACTTTACTTAGATCGGACAGAAGGCGGTGTAGTTCTAGGTTGTCTAGATCTAAAATTTCAAGTCTGGTGGCATGCGATATTGTGCAATGAGTAGAGGAGTGGAGAACTCTTCTTTTGAAATATTTCTGGACTTTCTCAACTGTGTTATTATCAGACACATAATGTAATGAAGGCCAGAAGCACATTCTATGTTTATCTTAAGGAGATTGTAGCCTAGTCTACTGGATCTTTCATTGGAGAGCATGATTGATGCCCCAGCCCATGAACATGTTTGAGACTTTGATATATGACTCTGATATATGACACACCTAGGGGTGTTGGGGGAAACAGAGTCATAGGTGATAGTAAATTACATGTCTCAGAGTTGGCTTCATGCAGGTTAATACTGGTTATGTTGCTCCTAAAAAATCATTTGGTTTCTTTTGAAATTTGGCTTGAGGCTCATGATTAAAATAGGGCAAACGGCAGACTCCTGAACATGCACGTGCATGTTGCTGTGGATAGCTTGTTCTCTGAATGCCTTTCAGCTTGCTGGTGTCATGTGGGAAGATAGAGTACACAATATTGGCTCCACCTGGGTGACTTATGAACCCAAGAGTGTTCTATAGGGAGGTTGGGGTTCCCCTGAGGATCTAGTAGGCTAATTAAGTACACAACAAAGAGATGGGCTCACATTTATACATTTCTGAAAAGAGGGAAAGTGTTAGCTTTTATTTTCTTCTATAATATTTCAGGTGCTTCTATGAGAATGATCTGATAAATATTACCACAGGCCCTGTGAGCTGAATGGCTCCATTCATACAAAAACTGATTTTACCAACACAAATGGATATGCAGGTATAAAACTCTGGAAGCCTTATATACAACAATTGCAGCAAGATTAATTCATGCTCAAAAATAGAAACCTTAGACACTAGAGGATTATTTCATAATTGTTTAGAAATATCATCACACCCTGTTGTAACATGAAATAGAGAAGAAAAAAGATATTATTTACAATTATTTTCAAAGATTATATAAAAGGAAGAAGTGAATGAAGATAAAATAAGAACCTACTTAGAGGATACGAATGACAAAGCAATTGGAGAGGAAGGGATAGAATTATTA